CCAGCAGATTCTGGACACTGATCCCCAAACGATTATGCTGCCCCAATAATAGTTTGCCACATACTCTCCATGACAGGTAGTCCTTGAATTACAACAGTTCATTCAGTGACCTTTCAAAGTTACAACTTTGAAAAAGTGACTTCCGACCATTTTTCACACTTATGACCATTACAATATTTCCATGGTCACATGATCAAAATTCAGACACTTGGCAACTGACTCGTATTTATGACGGTCGTAGTGTCCCGGGATCACAGGATCCTCTTTTGCAAGCTTCTGACCAGCAATGGGGGAAGCCAGATTCGCTTAACAACTGTGGCAAAGAAAGGTCGCCAAATGGATCAAAACTCACTTTAACAACCGTCTCGCTTAGCGGCGGAAATTTTGGGCTCCATGGTAGTCATAAGGATGCACTGAGAAATGTATCTGCTGAACAAAAACTTCGCATTGGCGACAGGAAAGGCATCTGGCCAGTAAAACACTTTGCTAGCTCAGTTACCCAGACTCCACCCAGCAAGGGATTATGGGGTCGTTAAAAGATGATGATTGTTGGTCATAAAACGAGGACTACCTGTATTTGTAATCTATAGGTCCCTGCCTTTGCTACAGGCAAGCGTACTTCCCAACTGTTGCCAAGATAACATGCTACAAAAATGAAACAATGCTACAAAAGAACATCGCAACAGATTAACCACAGACCCGAATCACTTTCTAGGAAATCTATTATTATTATTATTATTTTATTATTATTATTATTATTATTATTATTATTATTATTATTATTATTATTATTATTATTATTATTATTATTATTATTATTATTATCAATCATTATCATTATTATTATTACTGGAAAATGATTCTTCACTGCCTGACACACTCTGAAAGGTTTGCAAACAAGCCACAAAAGGAATCCTGTAAGAAAATTTGCTGCCCTAACCCAGCTACTTCCGGGTAAATCTTGCCTTAATATCTGTGCCTTTATTTTCTTTTTTCCAACATTACAAAGCTCACCCAAGAGATAAATTCGATTTATTTCATTTGAAAATCAACGCTAAAGAATCGCACTGCAAGATCCCTGGAGGTGCCCGAATTTCCTTTCCTTTTCATAAGAGAAAATACAAATTTTCCTTTAAAAAAAAAAAAAAATTTTTTTTGGGACCTTTTGTATTTTAATTTTCTTGGAATCAACTAACATTTGCACGACAATAAATAAATAAATAATAAGTGAAAGGGGAAGTGCTCCGAGCTTGGGACGGACAATCTTTCAACCCGAATTCCCCCGGGATTCAAAGGACCCCTTGCTCTAACCCCCCCCCCCCCCCACCCAAAGACCCTGAGGGCCAGTTTTCTTCCCTCTTGGGGAGGGAGGAGGCGTAAAAAGACTGCCCCCAAAACCCAACTTTCCAATTTTCCTGCTGTCCGCTCCGAATTTGCCCCTTTCCGGCACTGTTTACACGAAAAAACGGAGTCGGTCCGCCACTTTCAGAAACCGAGATATAAGCTAGTTTTAAAACCAAAAAGAGAGGCTTCGGGAAAAGAGGTCAACCCCCTTTCCCAACTTCTGAGCCGGCCCACATTCCGAAGTGCACGTGATGCCTGCTTGCTTCTGATTGCCTCCAGCAACAAAGGGCAGTCACTCCGGAGTATAAAAGGAGCCCAGCTGGGAAGCGGGGGCGTGGCTGCGCCATTTGTGAAAGTGAGTCTTTACTTTGGTCGGGTAAGTTGAAGAACGGCGTCTTTCTTTTTCCTTCTTTCCTTTCTCTCTCTCTCTGTCTCCACCTTCCTTCCTTTTTCTTGTTCTCTTTCTCTCTGTTTCTCCCTCTTCCTATCTCTCTCTTTTTATTCTCATTTCCTCTCTTCTACACTTTCTTTCTCCCTTTTTCTCCTTCTCCCTTTTCCCCCCTTCTCCCTCTTTCTCTCCCTTCTCTTTCTTCCCCCTTTCACCTTTGTCTTTCTCCCTCTCCCTATCTTTTACACTTTCTTTCTCCCTTTTTCTCCTTTCTCCCCTTTCCCCCTTCTCGTTCCTTTTCCTTCTTTCCCTCCCTAACTCTTTCTCTCTCCTCTTTCCTCCCCCTTTCTCCTTTCACCTCACCTTTTCTTTCTCCCTCTCCCTCTCCCTTTTACACTTTCTTTCTCCTCTTTCCCCCCCTCTTTCTCTCTCTCTCTTCTCTATCCTCTTTCCCTCTTTCACCTCACTTTTTCTTTCTCCCTCTCTTATACTTTCTTTCTCCCCTTTTCTCCTTTTCTCTCTCCTCTGTCCTCTTTCCCTCTTTCACCTCATTTTTTCTTTCTCCTTCTCCCTATCTCTCTTACACTTTCTTTCTCCTCTTTCCCCCCTTTTCCCCTCTTTTTCCTTCTCGTTCCCGTTCTCCCTCTTTCTCTCCCTTTCCTCTTTCCTCCCCCTTTTCCCCTCTTTCTCCTTCTCCCTTTTTATTTTTCTCCCTCTCCCTATCTCTTTTCCCTCCCCATTCTCCCTCTCCCTAGCGCTTTCTCCCTTTCTCTCCCTTGTCCTCCCTCTCTCAACTTTTCCTCTCTCCCTCTGTGATTTCCACGCGGGTCCGTTCGTGGTCTGTTCATGGCTTAAGTCAGTTAATCCTCATCCTGGTTCCAAAATCGTGCAGAGTTTTTTTTAATGTCGCCCCAGCCGTTGCCTGCAAAACGTTGTTTAAATAATAGTCGTGTGTCTTAAAAAAAAAAAAAACTTTTAACAGATAAAATTGGCGCTTTTAATGCATGAATGAATTGATACGTGTCCTCCAGTGGGTGTTGACTCATAGCAAACAAGCACACAATCTTGTGAATTGGGGAGTTTAAAAGCGGGTTGCTTTCGGTGCTCCCTGGTGTAAAGAATGCCTCCTTTGGAGGAGCAGTCTATCGGAAAGTAGCTTACTCATGCTGTGCTTCCACTGGTATAGCACTGAAATCTGTATATCTTAAAACTAAGGCTGTCAAACTGGTTAGTTTGTGTATTTGTGTCCTAAGCATCACAATTAAAATAAGGCATACTATACATACGATTATACATTTAAAATATAAAATTAAAATATATGCAAATGAAAAAGATCTTGCCCAGAAATTAGCAACATTAATTGTGTGCCAAACCGGTTTAAGGTAGTCAGTCATGAGGCCATTAGGAGCCCAAAATGGTTTAGCTTTGTCTTATTATTATTATTTTTTTTAAGTGGCTTCGGTTGAGAAGTTTGAATGCCTTTTATTTTGTTAAATTTACATGTCTCCATCTGCCTATCAAGCAACTCTGATGCCTTAGAGTGCCGTCAATCACAGTATAGATAGTCCTTGACTTGCAAAACCGTTCATTTTCCTCCAATTTCATTGTACACATGTTGTGCATTGACAAACGTTTGATTTAGTGACCAAAGTTTCAAGGGCACTGAAAAAAAGTGACTTTTATAACCGTTTTTTCACACTTCTGACCATTGTGGCATTCCCTGTGATCAAAGTTTAGATGCTTAGCAGTTGACTCATATTTATGACGGTTGCAGTGTCCCGGGTCACATGAATCCCCTTTAATGACCTTCTGACCAAGTCAGTGGGGGAAGCCAGATTCACTTAACAAACTTACTAACATTAACAACTGCAATGATTCACTGAACAAGTGTGGCAAAAAAGGTGGTAAAATGGGGGAAAACTCACTTAGCAAATTGTCTTGCTTAACAACAGAAATGTTGTGGTCAGTTGTGGTCAAAAGCCTAGGACTACCTTATAAAACTTTAAATTAGGCTAATAAGGCTGCCCAAACATTGTTAACAGCTTAATTTTTTTCTCCAAAAACTATTTTCCCCATGCATCTTTAAATATGATTTATTGAAAAGACTGTAAATTTAAGAAAACTTGTTTCCAAACAGACAAGATATCCATGCCTCAAATTTGAGGAGTAAAGATGCATGGGGGAAAAATAGTTTTTGAAAACTAAATATGATTGATTTATTGAAAAGACTGTAAATTTAAGAAAACGGTTTCCAAACAGACAGAAGTACCCATGCCTCAAATTCCAGGAGTAGTTTTCCTCCCGTGTCCCATCTCCTCTTTCGGGTGCAACCCACAGCCTGAAGCAAAATGGAGTACCCCTGCATTAATATATTTTTGGGGAAAGGAAAGGCAGTTTATTTTATTTGTCAAGCAAGTATTATATAACAGGTATAAGTATGAATATGGTTATGAATACACGAAATGGATACAAATAAAAAGAATAGGACAGGAACGGTAGGCACATTGGTATGCTTATGCATGCCCCTTACAAACCTCTGAGGAATTGGGGTGAGGTCAATAGTAGACAGTCTAAGTTTAAAGTTTTTGGGGTTTGGGGAAGAAACCACAGAGTCAGGTAGAGTATTCCAGACATTGACCACTCTGTTGCTGAAGCCGTATTTCCCGCAATCAAGTTTGGTGCAGTTTACCTTGAGTTTGTATCTATTGTGTGCTCTTGTGTTGTTATGGTTGAAGCTGAAGTATTCATTAGCAGGTAGGACATTGCAATATGATAATTTTATGTACTATACTTAGATTGGACCAAAGGAGTCGTAGTTGAAATTTTATGGTTTGGTATTGAAAGGTAAAATCTATTCAAAATGCTACCATTCATTTTTTTTTAAGACCGCAGTTTATTTTCTTTCTTGAATTGAAAGATAGAGTTGGAAGGAACCTTGGTGGTATTTCAGAATCAAAATAGAGCTGGAAAGGGACCTGAGAGGTCCTCTAGTCCAGCCCCCTACTCAGGCAAGAGATACTATGTACCATTATTGTGAGGAAGTTTAATCTCCTTAATTCCAGGTTGCTTCTCCCCCCCCCCCCCCCTTACATAATTTTCATCTGTTGTTTCTTTTCTTGCCTTCAAATGCTTTTTGGAGAATAGCTTGGCTATTCTTCTTTGTTGGCAGCCCCTCAAATATTAGAAGACTGCTATCATGTCACCTCTGATCCTTCTTTTCATTAAACTAGACCTACCCAGTTTCAGAATAGACCAGCAACAGTTTGTGCAATGCTCCTAATAAGCTGTCTCCATTGCAAATGTGGGAAAAAGAATATGCATTATTTCTAATAACAAATTCCAGTAGGATCAGGTGCTCACAGTGAGACTAGCTGACTTATGCCAAATGTCCATTGTGACATCCTTAAGTTGTACTGCTGACATTACTGGATCAGGCCTTAAGCAATCTCTGGCGAAACTCATTCGCATGTAAAAATAATTCAAAATTAGGATGGGAAAGGAAGGGAGGTGAGATTTCAGCATCTTGATTTCCAACCTTGGCAAGTTTAAGAAGGATGGAGTTCAACTCCCAGAATTCCCCAGCCAACATGCCAGAGAAAAGGCTTGTTGGACTTTGCCCTGCTGGCTTAATCTCCTTAGCTATGATGGCTTAACAAGTCAGAATCCACTAAACCATTGTCTTTCCCATTCATCCTGGCTGGGGAATTCTGGGAGTTAAAGTCCTGTAATTGAGTGGATTTATATGCCAATTTTGGCCCAGTATTTACAACATGCGTAATGCACTGTAAAATTGTGGCTTAGTTTCCTTAGCTATGATGGCTAACAGAACCCACCAAGTCATGGCTAACGGAACCCTTCTTGCACGCTGACTGGATAATTTTGGGAGTTGAAGTCCAACAATTTAGATGATTTATATGCCAGTTTTGGCCCAGAATTTACAGTAGGTAGGGGTATGTGTATACACACACACACACACACACACACACACACAAAGACGCGCACACACACACATATATATACACATATGTATACATATCCATAGGTAAAATCTTCACTTAATCTCCTTAACTATCACAACTAAGACTTTACAAGGGTATGTGTATTATAAATTCTGGACCAAACACTGGCATATAAAATATCTAAATTGCTGGATTTCAATTCCCAGAATTCCCTAGTCACTGCATGCTGGCTGTGGAATTCTGGGAATTGAAGTCCATATCTCTTCAAAGTGCCAAGGTTTTGGGGGGAAATGCTGATTATTTGACGTTTTACGACGTGGCATGGTTGCAGTACCAACAAAGGAAGGTACTTAAAATTTTCTGCTCATTCTTGAATGTTTAAATTTTGTTCAAGAGAAACCATGTTACGCTGTCAGCACCGTTTCCCACCAATGCATTTTATTGCTATAAAGTTTTTATAAACTGCAGCTGGTACTTTTTAACAAATCTATGAATCGGAAACAGTCCTACCAAATTTCTGGGAGCATTTGGGGGTTCCTGGGTGAGGTCACACCACCAGCCCAATAAATGCACAGTTCACTTTTCTGATTTTTCACACCTACTTCTATTAAATCTTACCTGTACAGGTAATCCTTGACTTATAACAGTTTGTTTAGTTCGTTCAGAATTACAACGGCACTGAAAAAAAAATGACTCTCAAACTTATTGTCAGGTGGTGCTCCATTCAAAAATCCAAGAAAGATACTCTTGGACTCCATTAATATAGAGAAAAGGAACTTTTACTGGAAATCAAGTGGTAGCATCAAAGTAATTCTAGATCTGAGGATTTATGCGCGAAAAACACCTATACAAAGTGATGGCAACGTTCCCACCCACAGTAGTTCAAACTGTCCATCCAATTGAGGATTTGACATGTGGAGCATCTTCAAGTGGTGATGCAGACATCTGGCCGTTGACCTTGGCCTGATTTGATAAAGAGCTGTAGTTGCGCAGTAAGCCAGCAAGTAAGCATAAACAATAAAGTTTTCC